GCGGGCCTCTCACCGCTGTGGCCTCTCCCGTTGCGGAGCACAGGCTCCGGACGCGCAGGCTCAGTGGCCATGGCTCACGGGCCCAGCCGCTCCGCGGCACGTGGGATCTTCCCGGACCGAGGCACGAACCCGCGTCCCCTGCATTGGCAGGCGGACTCTCAACCACTGCACCACCAGGGAAGCCCCCATCTTCACCCTTTTTAAGTGTACAGCTCGGTGGCGTTAAGTACATTCATATTGTTAGGCAACAATCACCACCATCCATTCCCAGAACTTTTTCATCATCCCAAACTGAAACTCTGTACCGATTAAATACTCACTCCCCATTTCCGTCCCCCTGTCCTCCTGTAACCACCATTCTACCCTGACTTTATGAATTTGACTATTCTAGGCATCTCATATAGGTGGAATCATAGAACATTTGTCTTTTTGTGACTAGCTTATTTCACTCAGCATAATGTCCTCCAGGGTCATCCATGTCATAGCATGTGTCAGAACTTCCTTCCTTTTTCAGGCTGAATAATATTCCATTGTATTGATGGACCACATTTTGTTTATCCTTTCATCTTTCCATGGACACTTGGGTTGCTTCCACCTTTTTAGCTATTGTGAATAATGCTGCTATGAACATGGCCAGGCAAATTACCTCAAAGTCCCTGCTTTCAGTTCTTTGGGGTGTATGCCCAGAGTGGAATTGCTGGATCATATGGTAATTTTATTTTTAATTTTTTGAGGAACTGCCACACTACCATGGACTTTTCTTGTCCTTTTGAATTTTTCGCAGTGTGAAGAAAACACCTATTTAAGCTCTAATAAGTTGGAAAATGAGTTCACATTTCACTTTGCCCCTAGATTGGCAAACATTAACATCACGTATTGTATGGTTCCGTTTATACAAAATGTCCAGAATAGGCAAATCCATAGAGACAGGAAGTAGATTAGTGGTTGCCGGGGGCCGGGGGAGGAGGGGATGGGGAGTGATTGATGACGGGTGTGGGGTTTCTTATTGGGGTGATAGAGATATTCTGGAATTAAATAGTGGGGATGGTTACATAACACTGTGAATATACCAAAAAAAACCAACAACTGAATTGTACACATTAAAATGGTGATGTTTATGTTATATGAGTTATATCTCGATAATAATTTTTAAGCTGATAATACCATAAATAAACATGAAGAAAGTGATCCAAGAACTGTAACGTCTGCCTGGTGCGGGGTCTCCCCAAAGCAGGCAGCTCTGAGCAGAGGCTGGCAGGTCAAGGACATGGCCCCAGGCCAAGCAGGGGTTCCAGGTAGACAGAGCAGGACCTGTGCCAGTACAGAGGCCTCTCCCCACACGCCTTCCACTGCTGGCCCTGCCCACCCGCCCACCTGCCCGCCCCCAGGAGAACCGCCTGGCGCAGCACACCATCCAAGCCCTGCAGAGCGAGTTGGACAGCCTGCGCGCTGACAACATCAAGCTCTTCGAGAAGATCAAGTTCCTGCAGAGCTACCCTGGCCGGGTAAGTGCCCTCCACAAGTTCAGCCCCAGGTGTACCAGGCAAGGGAGAGAGGTGGTCCGGGCATATCCAGGCGGGAGGGTTCGGGGCAGTGACCTGCTAGGCAGCACTGGGCCTGGGTCCAGCAAGAGGCAGGGCTTCACAGGACTCAGGCCCACAGGAGTCACGGTGACTCCTCTGTGAAATGGGGGTGACCCACTAGTTGACCCCAGAATGTGGGAATTTAACCCCAGGGATGTTGAACATACAGGACAGGCCTGGGGAATTCTTTTTTTTTTTTTTTTTAATAAATTAATTAATTTATCTTTGGCCGCGTTGGGTCTTCGTTGCTGCTCATGGGCTTTCTCTAGTTGCGGCGAGCAGGGGCTACTCTTCATTGCGGTGCGCGGGCTTCTCACTGCGGTGGCTTCTCTTGTTGTGGAGCACGGGCTCTAGGCGTGCGGGCTTCAGTAGTTGTGGCTCGCGGGCTCTAGAGCGCAGGCTCAGTAGTTGTGGCAGGCGGGCTCAGTAGTTGTGGTTCACAGGATCTAGAGAGCGGGCTCAGTGGTTGTGGCACACGGGTTTAGCTGCTCTGTGGCATGTGGGATCTGCCCGGACCAGGGATCGAACCCGTGTCCCCTGAATTGGCAGGTGGATTCTTAACCACTGCGCCACCAGGGAAGTCCCTGGGCCGGGGGAATTCTTATCTTTTAAGCTTATATTAAAAAACAAAAGAACAGAATTTGGTCCAACATTCCAAACACCTATCAAGAGAATGCAACAGAAAGCTACCCACTCCGTTCTGAGCCGGGAGGGCCCTCCCTGGCTTCTCTCAGCCCCCGGGCCTCACAGGGGACCACCTTGTGCAAGAAAACCCTTCTGAAACTGTGGGGAGGCAGAATGGGCAGTAGAAGGATGGTGACACGCTGGCTGGGGGCCTCCCTGGGACAAGACTCTCAGCCACCGGCCCCCAAACCACCGGTTGGAGCCATTCTCAGGCCACCAGAGGGCGCCCAGACTCCGTGCAAACTACACCTTGGGTGGCCCGCTGGGGGTCTGGGGGTCCCTCGTCTCCCAGGTGCTGGCCTGGGCTACACAGCCACCCTGCACACTCCCAACGAAGTCCCTCCAAACCCACCTCCCTGTACGGCGCCCCGCCCTGTCCATCTTGTACATTCCAGCCCCACTCTGGGCCTTAGTTCCCCTACCTGCCCTGAGGCACCGTGGCCCTGACCCCAGGCGGAGACCTCTGACCCTGGGCAGTGCCCCTGGACACGTGGCACCATCCATGTCACACTGTCACCCGGGGCCTTCTCCCCGCCTCCACCGTGCTAAGGAGGAAACTGGGGCTTCCTAGGATGCTGTCGGCCTGCACTCCTCGGGCCCTGGCCTTCCTGTTGGGTCCCTTGACTGTGACAGGGGTCTCTCCTCCTCCTTTGCTCGCAGGGCGGCGGCAGCGACGACACAGAGCTGAGGTACTCAACCCAATATGAGGAGCGCCTGGACCCCTTCTCTTCCTTCAGCAAGCGGGTGCGTGGACCTGGCCGCCACCAGCTCACCTGGCCTCAGCCTCCCTCCAGACCCACCCCCCACCAACCCCGGTCTCACCCTGCAGCCCCCCACACTGCACCCTGACACACCAGACCATCAGGGCAGCCCCCAGGCTCGCTATGGTACCGTGAAGGCCCGGGGTCCACCCGGGGTGGGCCCAGAGTGCCAGGAACACATGCTGAGGGCTATGGGAGGGTGTGTGACAGCGACCGGGTTAGCCCTGGGTGCACACTCTGGGGGTAGGCAGACAGCAAAGAGCTCCCAATGTCAGGTGACTTAACGGTGGGGGGGCGGGGAGCTTGTAACTCCCCCTCCCCCTGCCCTGAAGACCTTCCTGCTGTAGGCAGAATCGGCCACTGCAGAGGGGGCAGCAGCTCCCGTCACTGGCCCTGCTCACACAGAGGTTGGGAGAGCCTAGGATGTCACCCTGAGTGGGGCTGGGCACCAGGGAGCCTCTGGCAAGCCCCCGGGATTCTGCAGGGACAGCAGGGCAGGGTCCCTCTCTGCAGTGAGCTGGAGCATTGGTGAGCCTTTGGGGTCCTCTCCTCATCCCTCCTCCTCCTTCAGGAGCGGCAGCGGAAATACCTGAGCCTAAGCCCCTGGGACAAGGCCACACTCAGCATGGTGAGTTCACCCCGCCCCGTGCCCCCACCGTGTCAGGCCTGGGCCTCTGACTCTGGGCACCTTGTCACCTGCCCTCCAGCCCGGTCTGGAAAGCCCCAGGGACCCCGCTGCCCCTCACAGACTCCGTCAAGAGTAGCTATGCGAGGGCTTCCCTGGTGGCGCAGTGGTTGAGAGTCCGCCTGCCGATGCAGGGGACACGGGTGCGTGCCCCGGTCTGGGAAGAT